CCAGGATGTTCAGGATCCGGCAAGGGACCTGCCCTACTTGATTGAGAAGACGCAGGCCGGTGCGGACTTCATCATGACTCAGTTGACCTACGATCTGGAGGCATACACCAAGTTTGAGACGATGCTACGTAACCATGAATCTGGTGTCTTCAAGACCATCCCCATCGTCCCTGGTCTGATGCCCATCCACAGTTACAAGATTCTGACGAGAGTCACCAAGCTCAGTCATGTCAAGATCCCCCCGCAAGTCCTGTCGAAGCTGGAGGAGGTGAAGCATGATGACGATGCTGTGAAGCGCATTGGTGTCGACATCATTACTGATCTTGTGTATGGCATCCGCGATCTGGTCTCTCCTGGTCTCCGCGGATTCCACTTCTACACTCTGAACCTGGAGAAGACGGTGTCTTTTATTCTCGAGCGCTGCGAACTCATTCCCCCCTACACAGAGATCGATGACTCCGATGCCTTGGTCGATGGAGGTAACTTGTCTGCTATGGATTCTTCGTCGTACATCGCCCCGAACGGTGCTCCTATCCGCACACTGGCCAGCCGCCGCTCATCCGTCAGCTCCATCCCTCACAACCGTGTCATCGTCGACAAGGTACAGATCTCCGAACCCTCTTCGAAAGACTCCATAACACATGAGGCCTCCGCCTTGAGCGCCGGCCTTCCCGCCATGCCGCCCGACCGCAGCACAACCCTCCAGATCTCCGAAGGTCTCGGTGCCCTTGGCAGAGAAGCCACATGGGATGACTTCCCCAACGGACGTTGGGGTGATGCACGCTCGCCCGCTTTCGGTGAGATCGACGGTTACGGTCCCTCGCTGCACGTCTCCGCTGCCACTGCCCGGCGCATCTGGGGCTACCCGGTTACCCGCGAAGACATTAGCACCCTATTCCGCCGCCACGTCTCCGGCGAGCTCCACATGGTCCCCTGGTCCGAAGGAGGCGCCGAAGAGGACAGCAATGGCCTTAACGCCGAGACAGCCGTGATCCAACCCGAGCTTCTAACTCTCATCGACAAGAAAGGCTGGTGGACTCTGGCCTCGCAACCCGCCCTCAACGGCGTCCGTAGCGACGACCCCGTCTTCGGCTGGGGTCCACCGGGAGAGGGCTTTGTCTTCCAGAAGCCCTTCGTGGAATTCTTCTGCCCCACCAAAGACTACCTCACTGTCCTCAAGCCCCTCCTCCAGAAACACGGCCACGAGAAGCTCGCCTGGTTCGCCACCAACGTCAAGGGCGACTTCGAATCCTCCCTCCCCGGCCCCAACACCGACGACCCGGACCCGATCGACATCAACCCAGCCAACGTCAACGCCGTCACCTGGGGTGTCTTCCGCGGCAAGGAGATCGTCACCCCCACCATCATCGAGGAAGTCAGTTTCCGCGCCTGGGGCGACGAAGCCTATCGCATCTGGGATGAATGGCGTCGCATCTACCCCAAGAACTCGGCGACGGAGCGTTTCCTGGACGAGACCAAGAACGATGTCTGGCTTGTCTGTGTCGTGGGTCAAGAATTCGGCGCCGGCACGGAAGCTGGCTCGGAGGAAGAGGAAGATGAGAAGAAGTGGATGTGGCGCGAATTGGCGAATTCCCAGTAATTTTCTGATATGATGGATGTATTAACCCTAAACTATGGACTACTTCTGACCGCTGGCTTGGTCTGGGTGGTGCGTGGTGCGTGTGGTGATGATGGCTTTGGTTCATTTGGATTTCCACAGTAAGTAAAGTACAGTACTACTACTATACAAATGGTGAGGGGTCTGTTTCATTTGATAATTGAATCTTGTCTTATTTTCAACAAACCTAATTCGATTATGGAAGAGGGAATGAATGACGGGAGAGGACGTGTGTATGTATGTATGTATTTGCATCATATTATGAGTTGAAATGAAAAATAGAATCTGCAATTTCATATCTGTCAATCAAAGCTCACATTCCAGTGTCTTGGAGAAACGGTATTCTTTAACATAAACTCTTCGTTTACTATATATAATCATTCATCCACGAATCCACGCTATGCTATGTCATAACTATCTATTTGTAAAAATGCATCCACATGCATGTAGACATCTATGAATGAATCAAAACAAACTACGACACCTCCTTCATCCCGAATCCATGCTCCTCGAGTCCCTCGGCGCCTGTATCCGGCGTCGCGAGAGAAGACTGCGACTCGGCGAACTTTTCCACTGCGTCGTCGAGTTTACCGTATGCGCGGGCATTACGGCGCGGTTGGTTGGGGCCGGAGGCGGGGAGTTGGTAGCCGCGGAGTCTAGCATATCAGTCAATTGTTAGTTGTTGTGGGTGTGGTTATGAAGGATTGGGAGATAGAATGAGTGTGTAAAACATACCGTGGACCTTGGCCGGTAGGTTTGGGTAATTCGGAGACGTAGGTCCGTTGGAAGGTCTGAGTGTCGGCTTCGAAGGTACCCCGGGAGATGCTTTCGCGGATGGCGGCGAAGAAGGTATCCATTACGTGGTGGTTGTGGATTTGGAGGAGGGTCCAGGCGAGCATTTCCTTGGCGGTTAGGAGGTGGTGGATGTATGCGCGGTGGTGGTTGCGGCAGGTGTAGCATTCGCAGGATTTGGAGAGTGCGGAGGTGTCGATTGTGTGGGTTGGGGACCAGAGGTCGAAGGCGAGGTCATGGGGTTGAGTGATGGTCGTGGGGGTGTTGGGTGATGGGAAGGTGAAGTCCAGGGCGATGCCGGCGTCAGAGCAGACGCCCATGAAGGGGATGGTGAGGAGGTCTGCTCCGAGGGAAACGTCGCGGAGGATATCGTGTGGGGTTGCTGGTGCGCTGTAGAGGAGGCGGGGGAGGTCTCCGAGCGGTTCGGAGATGGCTGATAGGGAAGCCGATTCGTAGAGGGCCAGGCCGGAGATATATGGTCGGAGCTCGGTCTCGAGGTCGTCCATGTAGATTGACTGCTGGGCGTTTTCGAGAGGGAGGACGGGAGCGAAGTAGGCTGACTTGGATCGGGTGTTCTCCGGCACTGTGCTGCCGTAGAGTAGCCCTGTGGCATGTGTAGTGAAGGCGTGGGTGCGATCCACCATCTTGCCGCGTCTCTTGTTGCCAGGGGTGTGTCCCAGCACGAGATCTGCCAGTCCGATGACGATGTCCGGGTTGAGCTTCTGCACGGCGTCGACGTACTGGGTAGCTTCGAGCTGTCTGAACCCAACGGAGGTGTAGATGGCGACGGAGTTGGGGGTGTTGGCTGGAGGGCATTTGATTGGGGGCTCCCGACGTGCGCCCATGATCAAGAGGAGATCATCGGGGAGAGCGACGAATTTGCGCAGGGCCGATTCATCGTGTGCGGTGGGAATGGTATAGACCGGAGGCGGATGTTTTTGGCTTTGTCTTTCTACGACTGATCTGGGCCCCGATGGGCATTCGTGTCAGCGCGGATTCGGCCTCCGAACAAGAGGAGAAGGGCATACAATCTTCGAGACCGACATATAGACTGCCGATGTCTGTGTGATCACGCAGCACATCATGGGCAATATGCGGAACGACGCCTCGGGAGGCCAGAGGTATGTAGTGTGGGGTGGAGATGGGTTTTCTGCCGGCAAAGGCCAGTCTTCCCAGTCGGGGAGTCAGGACGGAGGCCGTAGCATTGAAGGTGAGCATCTCATTCGATGGTTGTTGGGAAGACTCTGAGCCCATGGCGACCCTGAGGAGTGGAGGTTTGACGAAGGGATGGGGATGGTGGAGAGAGGAGAGAGAGAATCCGGCCGTTGTTGGAGAAGATGAGCGCGGCGCGTGCCGATGAAAATGTGCTTCCCCACTAGTAGTTGGTATCGATATAGATGGTGGGTTCGATAGTATTGATGTATTCCCCAATGTCTGGTTAGGACTATCTCGAAATTTTCAAAACGGTCGATGAAGAAATGTGTCTAGTATTGAATGTACTGTAAACGAGGAATATTGCTGTTCTGAATTACATTACAGAAGATGTATCGCCAACTGACAATCCCAGAATGGAGCAGATGGAGTCACGATGGACGCCATTCCCAAACGGGCAAGATCCCCTCCAGCTCGTCGCGACCCGCGCGTCAAGCCACTTTCATCTCTCTTTCATGGCACACCTCTGCTCCTCTTTCTTATCTGTGGTGAGTTACGGATAGAAAATTGAGTTTCCTTGAGGCTCTTCATTCTCATTTTCACTCTGTGAAACTCTCCGGTTGTCAATTGACCCCCCTGCACACTGCACAACATGGCTGCACAAGCTCCTCCCGCGCGACGCGGGGCTCTCATTGTAGTTGAGGGGCTGGACCGCGCGGGCAAGTCCAGTCAGTGCGAATCTCTACACCAGAAACTACAAGAACTAGCCCATTCGGTCAAGTACATTCGCTTCCCAGGTAGCTCCCCTTCCTGTTTTAGTTGTCCTCATGAGCACCGCTCTAATCCACACTTCTGCAGACCGGACCACTCCCATTGGAAAGCTCATCGATAGCTATCTACGTGGCCAGTCACAGTTGGACGACCATTCCATCCATCTCCTCTTCTCTGCCAATCGCTGGGAAATTGCTCAGGCTATTGAGGAGGATATAGCAGCGGGCATCACTGTCATTGTGGACCGCTACTCCTATTCAGGTGCCGTGTACTCGGCCGCCAAGGCCAATCCCACCTTGTCCCTGGAGTGGGCTTGGACCCCGGAGATCGGGCTGCCCCAGCCTGACCTGTGCGTTTTCCTGAGTATCGCTCCGGACGAAGCGGCCAAGCGCGGTGGCTTCGGTGCCGAACGCTATGAAAATGAGACTATGCAAACCCGGGTGCGGGAACTGTTCCAAACCATCTTCCGTGTCCAACGCAGCGGTGAAATTCACGTGATCGATGCTGGCAGGTCATTCGAAGCTGTTTCGGTGGACATCGAGAAGAGCGTGGTGGACTGCATAGCTCGCTTGGACGCCATTGGGCCATTGAAGCGATTCGTGTCAATTGCAGCTTAACTTCCTCCCAAGGAGGAATAGCGAGAAACACTGCGAAGCAAATATGAGATTCATCCCAGCTCCTCCATCTCTTCGCAGTCACTGTCGTCTATGATGATCTCCACCCTAGACGACTCCATCTTATGGTCCTTTGGGCGGTCCAAGAGTTCATCGAAATTCGGATCCAGATCTAACGACTCCGTCCAATTTTCATCCAAACTAGCGTCGTCATGATGGTCCACATCAAGACCGTCGCTGACGCCAACTGACGCACTCTCGGCGCATGCGGCTCGGCTTCCTGGGTTTTCGAACGCGCTGGCTACTCTATCAACGGCGCTTGTTTCATGGATAGGATCAGGCGCCTTTGCACGGCCTCGTTTTGCCTTTTGCAAAATGGCACGTGACTCACTTGGTCCTCGAATTCTGAGGCTCAGTTCTTGCATCATCGTCGACCATTGGATGACCTTATTACATAGAGGACATTTTCCATCAATCGGAACGAGCTGCTCGGGCTCCTCGGCGTGCTCCAGAAACCTAGCTGACAGACATAATAAATGGCTGATGCAGTAGCAGCTTGCCCGGGGGCAAACTACAGCTAGTTTTTCACTGGGAACAACCTTTTCATGGCATATTTTGCAACGCAAATCGCTGGGATCATCCAGCAAGAAATGGGACTTCTCTACGTAGTCATAGATATGGCTGTAGTCGACCTTGATATGTTCAACGCTTCGTACTCTCGGCTCGTCGGCCCATGACAGATGGTCCTTAGGACAGTCCCCATCTAAAACGGTCCGGACATGATCGGGAAGCAAGGCATCAACGCGGTCGCACCATGTCGTCCACAGCTGGTAGACGTCTCTGTTGAAGAACCGTAATCTTAGCGGCCATTTCGAAAAATAGGTCGAACGTAAGAAAAGATGCAAATCTTCTAAATGGGCCTTCAAGGATCTCCGGGAACCACGACCTCGATGCTTAGCCTTGCCGGTTTCGGTACTGGGCTGAACCCCTGAGGTGCCTGTCGCTTCGCCAGTCTCTAAGTCGATCTGGTGGCGATTCGCCGGGTGCTGCGAAGACATCTTTGGGTTCTGCCACGCCCACCTACAAGGCTATTAGATCTGCAGTGTAACAAGAGTGCGATGGTGTGTCCATGGTTGCTTACTCGAATTGCAACGCAGCCACGCGGCTCGTAAAGCCCTCGACGAGCAAGACCATTTCCCACGGTCTTTTGTCGTCCTTGGCTGTTTTGCGAGCGCCGCCTTTGGAATCTCCATTGTGCTGCGCAAGTCGCCTGGCAGGATGTGGAGTGGAGCCAATATACAAGGAAGTGCGCTGTTTGGTTGAACGCAGCAGGTAACAGCAGTAGTAGGCCGGGATTGGTTTAGTATGATCAACCTCTGCATCGTCCATTGCAGCAGATAAACAAGGCTCGTTCACTAGTTATCGAGATGATCGAGTTCGGTACAGTATGGGCTAGTGACGCATACCATCTGAATCAAGTAGATATTGATGAAAAGAGGCGTTTCTGCAAGAACTGCGCGTATGCGAATGCTTGCGATCTAGATCAGTTTGGCGTTCAAGATCTACGCGGATTTGGTCGATCGATCAGCTGTTGCTCCAGCAGGAATACCCCTAGTCACATGACATTCCAGAATACTGAGCGCTGCTCGGGACTCAACTTTCTCAATGCGCGGTAGCATCTACGGAGTATGTATGTAACTCTTTTCTTTTGCTTGTTGCGCCCGATGACCTGCAGGGGATTTTTGAGCCATTTGCTTGCTCTTCATGGCTACTGTTGTCAATATGTCAACACCATCTTGCTCGCCTGTTGATGCAGTGATAAAGCTCGATCTACTTAGTCTGGACAGCGGCCGAGTGAGGCTCAACCACTCATGGCAATGATGGCTGGCAATGAAGGGGGTTGCCGTGTCCCCATCAACAACCCCATTTGGAAATTGCATGACACGTGCCAGGGATCAGTACGGAGCAAAGCGGACAAAGGAGACGACGCGGAAAAGGAACAAAAGAGAGCCAAGAAAAAGGAAACCTAGCGGATCTAGAATTTCTACAGGATGGGATCATCGAACGTCTAATTAGCCGGGTGCAAAGTACTGTGCCACTACAGCCTGACATAAGTACTGCAGACGACTCTGCAGCTGATTGACAATCGTGCTTGACATCTGCTCGGCAATATGAGCCACAACAATATGAATGCATACTCGGGGCGACGACGAGGAAGCACAAGGGATAGCCATCGATAGCCTCGGGGAGAGAGGGGTGTTCCTCCCCATCCCACCCAGCCCAGACAGACAGACTATCCCATTTTCACCCGCATTCCTGCGGACCGTACAGACTGGGTCCCCGAAGTCCGGAAAAGCTCGACCCGTAAGCTGGTGGGCGCATGTGATCTGAACTGGGCATGATCGGGGCTAGGGAAGTGAGCATTGCATGATTTCCCTAGATTAGGCTAGTGAGGACGACGGTAGCCATTATTCCCTAGCCAGATGCTATTACCAGCCCAAGGGATAATTGTAGGGAGACGGCCTGCCCGGTGGAGTTTCCCATGGGTTGGTATTATGGTACACTATATTATTATTATTCTCATTGTGTTTGGTCTGTGTGCCCTTATACCCCTCTGATTTGAGATATTTTGTGGTCGGTTCCGGACCATGGTTGACGTGTCACACTCAGGAATGCGTATCATACCTGCCTCCCTCCTTCAGAACCCTCCCAACATCTCATGCGGAGATCAGAGACTCGGCTACTCCGTAGAGTCTCAGCGATTTCTCCGGATGCTCTTATTGCCATCTGCCCATCCTGATAGACTTTTGCTAATGCCAATGTAAATGGGACGGGGTCGTTTGTTGTGGGCAAGATATGCCACGACGTGAGGATAAAGCCTGATATGGTTGAGCTAAGCAACCCGGCCGACTCCGTTCGTTCAATTTCCCCTGTAAGATCAAGGATGATGTGGTCATGAATTTACCGCCCCATACCCATACCCATAACCAGACCCATACCTATCTGTACCTTCTTCTCTGTCTTACCCTTGGGGTTTTTCCATCCGAAGGGACTTTTCTTGGACCTTCAAACCCCGATGGCGTGCGCAATTAAATATTCTTTCTTAGTAATATTATAGTGTTTCTTTTTCTCTCTGAATGAATATGCCATGCAATGTTTCCTTTTGTCCAGCCCTTTCTATTTTCTTTTTCTTTGTTGTCTCTAATCGAAACTTCCATCTCCTGCAGTAGAACAGGACGGTGGAGCTGAGCTTCACTTGTATGTAAGTAGGAGCTTTATACAGACTAAGTAGTCAATAGCGAAAATCAAACACAAACGTGCCATTAGGAATAAGCAGTATTATATTACTTTTTGACCTTCCTCTCTGGAATATGACCATAAGCTTTTTATATAGAGTATTACCAGTAAAATGTATAGTACAAAGGTAGAAGTAATAATAAGGTAGGTGCTAGCTAGGAAAGGTTGTGTTAATCCAAGAGAGAAAAGATGGGTATTGAGTTTGGGGATATTGGAAAAGTGGAAAGGCAGGAAAAAGTTTCCCTTCTTCCGAGGTCGTCGAAAGTCGTTACATCACCGTTTGCGGGCAAGAAGTGGATGGAATGAAGTCCAGCTGGTATCTTTCCCGTTTCCATACAACTATACGGGTAACAGAGCCTATCCTATTTTGGAATGTCTGATTACCGCTTTTGTTGTATTCGCTACCCTTTCTTAGCTGCCTGAGGCCAGACTATCCAGATGCAAATCATGGATCGAGAGGACGATTTCCATTTCTCGCTGTCTCTCTCTTGACGGATGGACTTGGCTTGACTTGCTGCTTCTGACTTTCTTACTGTGAAGTACGTTTTCTTTTTTCTTCACCCATTTGCTTTTTTTCCCCTTCCATTCGTCTCGATTTATCCTTTTTACTTTCCCTCTCCTATTTTTCCCTTTTTTCTGCACACCCTTCTTCCCCTTAGCATATTTTCTCGATCTTCCGTTCCATCCATTCCTTCTTTTTTTTCTCCAGACGAATTCGGCATCTGATTGTTTTTCTTCAGTTGCCGATCCACTTGGGGTTGGTGGTCCTCTTTCTCCAGTTCAGGTCTGACGGGACGGGGAAAAGTTGTGGATAGGAACAACACCTTCCTATCTATCTACTTACTTACATCTCGATAACCAGACTAGACTGACTTACTATCTAGACGATCAGTTTTCATCCATGATTGTCTTCTTAGTCAGCTAAAAAGCCCAAGCTGTGCCCCATCAACTACTAACTAAACTACTACTACTACTACCTGGTTTGGCCCAAGTGGCTTTCCCTGCGAACTACCTTACTAGCTAGGACTACTTCCGGCTACGGTCAATTCCTCCAATCGTCACGACTGCTAAATCTCAACCCCCATTTTCTAAACTAAACCTCCTACTTCCCCTACTACTACTTTCCCTACCCTACGGAAAACACCCCTGCTACGGGATTCTGATCCTCCCCCCGATCTCCTTCTCTTTCTCATCCCTCTCTTCTTCCCTCCCAACTCTCTCTGTCTGCTGACCGGCTTTTTCTTTACCTGGGGTGAGCACGTTATTCTTCCAATCCTTGTTCCTGTTCCGAGATTCTCCACACTAGCCCTCCCGGGTTCATCTCGGCCTGCCCTTTGACAGTCCATCTGCTGGCTGGCTGCCCTTTTGCTACTCTATCATCATCAATTTCACCTCCCTCGCTATCTCCCCATCTCCTTCCCCTCCCCATCCATCCCTCGGCCCTACTTTCTTCTTCCTTCATCCAATCTCACCAGGTGTTCTATCCTCGGTTCTCGACACTAAACTCCATCTCTCTCAGTTGATCTGGCCCTCCTCCATGTGTTTTTCGCATCGGATGCTGGCCCCCTTCCGTCCGCGGTAAACCACGCGCAAATTCTCTCTCGCCTCGATACCATTGTCGCCCCTCAGAAATGGTGGCTCCGGCTTCTGCTGGAGGCGCCTCTACAGGCCTGCAGCCTTCAACGAGTCGCCAACCCACTCGATCGGCCAGCACTCACCCATCGCATTCTCACAATGTTCCCTTGAGCGCTCGCAGGTCCGAACCCCTCGACTTGTCCACCGTCGAGCGCCGTGGACAATCCAATGCCCCTCGCGAACCGAGTACACGAGTGCGCCCCCATGGTTTACAAGAGGCACCCACCTTCCGGCCGACAGAGGAGGAGTTCAAGGATCCCGAGGCATACATCCGCAAGATCGCGCCGGAGGGGAAGAAATATGGAATTTGCCGGATCATTCCGCCTGAGAACTGGCAACCAACGTTTGCTATAGATACAGAGGTATGCGAGTGTTCCTGCGAATCTTGTTTGCTTGGTGTGGAGCAAACAAAGAGCTGCAGTGACTCCAGTCTGGGATATCCTGTGGGGGCTAAATAGGGCTGACCAACGCGTTCTTCTAGCGATTCCATTTCAAAACCCGTCGGCAGGAGCTCAACTCGGTTGAAGGAGGTATGCCCCCGCGCTTAGCCAAACAAGCTGCCGGTGGAGCTCCGCAGCCCAGTTCTGACGCGGACTCAGGAACTCGTGCAAACTTGAACTACCTCGATCAATTGGCCAAGTTTCACAAGCAACATGGCACCAACCTCAACCGATTCCCGAGCGTCGACAAGCGTCCGCTGGATCTGTACAAACTGAAAAAGGCGGTGGAGGTCCGTGGTGGCTTTGATCAAGTCTGCAAGATGAAGAAATGGGCCGAGATTGGGCGCGACTTGGGCTACAGTGGCAAAATCATGTCCTCGCTCTCCACATCGCTCAAGAATTCGTATCAAAGATGGCTTCAGCCATACGAAGAGTATCTGCGTGTGGCCAAGCCCGGGGTTCAGCAACAATTGGAGCTGGAACATGGTGGTCCTTATACACCGTCCCCGAACCATTCTCCCATGCCCAAAAAGCCTGTATCACTTGACAGCGCCACGCCATCGGCCACGCCTCAGCCCGCACCGAGCAATCCAGTTGCGCCTCCAAGTGCGGCAAAGGAGGTCGAGGCAACTCCAGAGAAGCCCACACCGCCCATCGAGCCTGCTCGGCCGATTGCGTCTGGATTTACACCCGTGAATGCTGGCTCGAGCGGTTTCACTGCTGTCAATCGATCACCATCTTTTGTGGCTGTGAATAGTGGCCCCGCCGTGAAGCGGGAAGCAGACAATGGCTCTCTCACCCCGAAGAGTATCGCTGAGCATCCGGCCAATCCAAGCGCCGCTTCCAATGGCCATGCGGGTCCGCCAATGAAGCGCGCGATCAGCCACGAAAGTGCATCGCAGGCTGAAAACGGTGAAGTTGATGCTAATGGTCGACGGAGCAAGCGACTTCGGAAAGGTATGTGCCTATTTACTGTAGACGTAGTAGTCGCAGTCTAACCCTTCTTGCTCAGATGCG